TTTTTTATACAATTAATTTTAGTTTAAAATTATTCCCAAACAAAAATAGAACTCTTTCCTGTAAATGCATACATTAAAGTTAAACCACAACTTTGCCAATCTTTTATTCTAGTCATGTAATCTATCATGTTCACTTCAGAGCTTTTTTTCTCTTTTCATCTATTCATTCAATGATTAAAATGATGAGAAACAAAAAGTGAGATGGGTTTGATTTCTTACCAATAAAGATTGATCATTATCTCTTAAGATAAGACCAGCCTTATGAATCCAAATCAATAAGATCTTGTTTGGCTTTCATAATATTGTTGAGTGATATTATATTCTCTAATATATCATTTTCATTTTAATTTTTATTAAGGTGAAAGGGAGAGAATATATAGAAGAAGAATAATGAGTGAGGAGTGAGATCCATTTCACATCATTAAAAATGAATTAAGGATGCTCAATTAGAGTTCTCAAACATTTTTCAATCTTTTTAATCTCATCAAGATTCATTTCTATCTTGCAATTCTATATAGTATATACCACAATAAATAAAGAAGTAGCTTCTCTCCAGTTATGGAGATTGATCCACAATTTTCATTATCATCTTTGATGATATAATTTGATCAATTTTTAGTTAAGTGGTTGTATATTATTTATAAAAAAAATTAAATTAATTTGATAATCTTAATTAATCACATATTTGGTCATATTTGTTTCTGAATAAATAGGAAATATAATTTTGAAAACATACTGTTTATTTATTTCAAAATAAATTTATTAAAATCATTTGGCTGTGATGATTTTTATTTTTTTATCAATAATCTGTAGTGTATACTGTTATACTTTACAAAGAAATAAATATTAAGCATAATGACAATCAGTGACCTTGGTTTTAATTTTCTGGATTCAGTTTTTTGAAAATTAAATTTTTTGTTTTTTGTTTTTAGTGAATATTTTTAAAATTTTAAGCATTTTTTTTAATCTTTTTAGATGTACCTTACTTATAGATGTATCTAAAAAATAAAATATTTGTGAAAAAATATTTTAAAAAATTAATAAATACACAAAAATATGAAAAATATACTGAATTTTTGTATTTTTTAAAATATATTTTTGATATTTAGTGAATCGTTTAAAGATTTTTTCAGGAAAATTATATATTTTTAATATATTTATGTTATAGGTGTGTCAAAAAATTAAAAAAATTGCTTAAATTATTTAAAAAAATTCAATAAAAACAAATTTTAATCTTTTTAGATGTACCTTACTTATAGATGTATCTAAAAAATAAAATATTTGTGAAAAAATATTTTAAAAAATTAATAAATACACAAAAATATGAAAAATATACTGAATTTTTGTATTTTTTAAAATATATTTTTGATATTTAGTGAATCTTTTAAAGATTTTTTCAGGAAAATTATATTTTTTTTAATATATTTATGTTATAGGTGTGTCAAAAAATTAAAAAAATTGCTTAAACTATTTAAAAAAATTCAATAAAAACAAAAAAATACGAAAAATAAGAAAATAGAATTTTTTAAAAAGTGTTTTAAAAAAAAATGAAACAAACATAGTGAATATTATTTTAAACATCAAAAAATATATATATATATATATAGACAATTTTATTTTTTATTAATGAAGGTGTTGCAAAATTTTTCACTTAATGATTAATTATTAACGGGAGATATTACCGTTTAGTGGAAACAGGAGAAATGTATCACAAAATCATGAAAATATTTATGATTTTAATTATTATTATCTTATGACTTATTTATAATTATTTTTAAAAAGAAAAATAGTTGAGAATATTAAAGTGATGCTTTAATAACACTACTAATGATGTGACAGTGAACAACCTTTTTTTTATACTCCATCCGTTCCAAAATATTGGTCCCTTTTGGGGAATCTAACTTTTTTTGGTAGTACACTTATTGCATTTGAAAAAAGTTGATTTTTCAAAATTACCCTTTTGATAGTACATTTTTTGAGAATATCAATGTCATAATTGTACTTTTTAAATTGTTTATTAATTTAAAAGAAGGGCAAAATAGGAAATTTACATTATTTTTGTACTTGATTTATAAAGAGGGACTAATATTTTGGGACAGTGAAAAATAAAATAAGAAATTAATATTTTAAGACGGAGGAAATATTTTTTTAACATTCTCAATGTATTAGTGTTATTAGTGAATTTTTTTTTTTACTGATATAAATTATGGTTGTTTTAAAAATATCAAAAATTTCTCTTATTATTATACTCAACATTTAGTGGTATAAGGGCAGGCAGTTTGAGGCCGCGTGGCACTCGGGTCAAAGTAGTCAAAAAAATAAGCTGAGCTGGATTCGTATAGACACGTGTCAACAAGTAGGCCTTAATTGGGTTCTTCGTGGCCACAACTTCAATCATGTCATTGCCAACTAAGGCATCACATCACGTTCGTGTCATCCAAACTTGACGGACAAGTCGAGCCCAGTAAAACTTACGAGCAATGTTCATCCCATTATAAGTGGTGCTAAAAAAAAAAAAAAAAAAAAAAAAGACACAAAATCTTTAGTGGTAGTACTAATTAGTGTTTCCACTCATTTTTCAAAACTTACAGTATTTACCATTAGATTATAAAAAATTATTTTTTTAATGTGTATTAATAATTGTGTCATGTGCAATTTTAAATAATTTTAAAATACAACTATAAATAAATAGAGTTGAAATAAAAAATTTAAATGGAATTAAAATAATTTGATAATTTACATTTATAGTGTGTATGCATTTGATACATCTGTATAATGTATGTAAGTAACAATTTTTAATTAATATTAGGGCAAATTACATATATCCCTTGAGATTTGGCTAAATTACAAATACCCCTGAGGTTTGAGAAATTACAAATTCCCCCCTGGATGCTATATTTGCATAACAAATTAGGGGGAATTTGTTATGAAATTTAAACTTCAGGGGGCAAATTGTTATGAAAATACAAACCTCAGGGGGCGGGATGTGATTTTCGAAACCTCAGGGGGATATCTGTAATTTAGCCAAACCTCAAGGGGTATATGTAATTTGCCCATAATATTAAAACCCGAGTAATTGTCACATATCTATAAGGGTGTGCGCGGCGCGGTTCGGGCGGTTTGAGAGTAAATTTAAAAATCGAATGGTGGATTGACAAATTGCGGTTTGGACGATTTTTGGCGGATTGACAGATTGAAGAATATTCTAACTAATTATCATACATTTGTATAATATATAACACTAATTTCTATAATATTTTTTAGATATATAACACAAAGTAATTTTATATAATATATTTTATATATATAGCCACTAATTTGTAATAAATTTCATATTTTAAATCTCTCACACACTCATTTTTACATTGATATTTCATTGGAGGTTAAAAAATATATATGTATTAACTATAACGGAGCGGAGGGGTTCAGTTAGCAGATTATAAATTTTTAAGTTTAAACTGCGATTAGCGGTTAGAGCGGTTAGGATAGATGCAGATCGGTGCGATTTTAGCGGATTGGGCGGTATTTTACACAGTCCCACAAATCTATACTATTATTTAGAAAACGTCTAAATTGATTTAATGAAACTTTATTCTCTTCATATTATGTGGCAACTTTATATATATTAAAATAAAAAAAATTATTATACACTACATAAGCAAATTTTGAACCCAAGATAAGACCTTAGGTTTGATTATGAACATAATTATCACTTAAGTAATATACATATTATGATATTAAATTATTTATTATTTATTGTTATTATTAATTATCTCACTAGCATACGTAATTGAGGCCCAATATTTATTTATGTGTTTGGTTAATGATAGTTTTAAGAGTTGTCAATAAACACCATAAAAAAATTTAAAAAATCTATAATCTCAATATAATTTTTATATATCCCAAAATAGTTTTACACATTTCAATATACTTTAATATATGTTTTACGCACTTTTTCATTATTGAATGGTGTTGTTCATTATGAGTCTTATTTTTAATAATTCAAATTATTTATTTTGTTGAATTCTTCGTATATATTAATTGCAATTTTTTTTTTAAAATCAATCCAATTTTCATAAGGTTTTTAATTTATTGTATCTATTATCCAAACATAAATAATTTATTTGAAAAACACATTTATCATTTAACTTTTATAAAAATAAATAATAAACCATCCAAATTATCAAAACAAACTTGTAATAAATCTCCCATACTCATGCCGCCCACCAAGTCCCTATTTAAGAAACACTCAAGTAGAGTTTGGTTTATTTTTTAGAACTTAACTTTGTTTTTAAATTATAATTTAGATAAAATAAGTTAATTAAATATATTTTTAAAATACAATTTAAAATTATTTTTAAAACTTTTATCTTATCTTATCTTTTTTATTATTATTATTATTATTATTATTATTATTATTAATCAATCAATCAATTTTTTTTTCTTTCTCATCTCTTCTTTCTTCTCTCACATTCTATACATCAATCAATTAAAAAAAAATACAAATCATTTTAAAATTATTTTCAAAACTCATAATTAAATAAATTTTCTCTTTTCAAATCATGATTCAAAATTCAAAACTCAAAACATAATTTTACACTCAAATTATAATTCTAAAATTAAATCAAACCAACTCTTAATAATTTTTCAGAAATGATACATTTTTTTAATTTGAGAACTCTAAAATAACACTAATAATGTAAACAAAAAAAATCAAAATTAAAAAATCACATCATATAAAATTCACACACCAATTAAAACTCTTAATTTAGATTTCAATCTCTCTCTCTTTTTCTTTTTTTTCTAATTTTTCTAGTGTGTTAGTTACTGCCCTAGCTGAGGCCGCAACTCAGAAGACGAAGCACGATCGTTTACGCGCTGTATCTCGGTCTCACATGTGATATGAGTCAGCGCAAATTCAAAGTTGAATTGAAAGGCTCAAGAATGTTCTCCGTAGTGGAACGCGTCCTCGTCGGCACAAATACTCGTTAAATATCCATCCTCATCGCTTCCGTCTATCACCCGTATAATTTTCCCTATACACTAGACTCATTCCGTAACTATCCTCCTCCGTATCTATATATATATATATATATATCTTCGAAGCAAAGCTACTCGTTCTTCGTAAATCTCTGTGATACCCAAACACACCAAATATAAATCGTTGAAGGCTCTCCTGATTCAAACTTCCAGTTTCGTTTTCATTGAATTTCAGGTACATATCGGAGCTTCTTCAATCTCTCTATAACTGAATTTGTGATTGGAGTGTTAGGGTTTTGATGGTAAAGTCTTCTTTTTTGTTATACCTTGTTTGGTTGCTGAGAAATTTGTGGAAAAGTGAAGCTAAAATTCAAACCTTTGAATTCTCGTGCTTCTTTTCTCATTTACTTCTATAGAAAATACAACCCCTCCCACCTCAAGCTAGTCAAAGAGTTGAATTGGGCTAAGTTGAATAGATACCTGTTTTTATCTCTTGGGTTCCAGACAATGAAAATTACAAGCTTTTTTCAGTATCTTGGTTTCCCTTCTATTTCTACATTTTCTCTGCAACCAAAAAAAAAAAAAAAAACAGGGTCTTATGAGAATTAGATGGTTGCTTTGGCCTTTGGTTTCATTTTTTTATGTGTTTTGGTTGAATGATTTGGTTTGAAATGTGGTAAGTTTGAATCGATCTGTATCTCCTTTTTTGGGTTTAGACATGCTCTTGGGTATTCTTGCATCATGATACAAAAAGGAATTTTGTTAAATCAATACTGCAACCAGAGAAAATGAAGAATACCTTTTGATTTTTTCGCAATTGAATGTTGTTGTGATTTACCCGTTGATCAAATACATATAGCTTTTTTCCTGGTAATTATTATTAAGGTTTTGATTTCTCTACTTTCTAATGTCTCCCCATTTTTTGGGCTTAATTTTTCTTTTGTTCTTCTCTTCCTAATAAAAAATCTTGCATACTTTTATCCTCATCCTTATTTTTGGTTACTGAAAGAGGAGGTGAAGGGGATGATATGAAGTGACGAATTTATTCTTCTCTCATTTCAAAAAATTTGATTAAAAAAACTTGATTAATTGAGCCAAAGAGCCATATGAACCAAAAGGCCATGTGAAGTTGGGTGATGATTTTAGTTTCTTCCTTGTGCCAAAAATTAAACAGTCTATGATTATAATATGCTTAATAGGGTATTAAGTAATCTTGTTCGCAGTATTGAGAAATTAATGGATTTCTTCTGTAGTTCAGTTCGCAACAGTTCGGTATTTTTTTTAATTTTATTTTCATGAACTTTAAATGAAACTTCGATTGCCTTGATTCTCTCATAGACTTGGAAGAAAAGGTAACTGCCACATCGAATTGAGAATTATAGTGACATAATAAGTGATCATTTTTGCAGGTTGAGCTTGCTATTTAAAGACCAACAAGTTCAATTTCTAAGCAGAAGATTGTAGAGCTAGCTGCCAGTACTTGTCTCGACTGAGCGACCACAGCAAATCCTTCCCGAATCAGTAATTGCAATTTTTGAATTATTATTGTATCGAACAGCTGATGAGAACTTTTTAGCATGGATTCGCGCCAGATTTTTGGATACGGAGTGACTGGTGCAGAATTATCCTACTCTTCTCATCCCACAGTTCCATCAATACCTGCTAGGCTGCTCGAGTCCTTGAAATTTGGTTTACATAACTCGCCTAACTCTCCTTTCTCCACTTACTTTGACTTTGAGACCCTTACCACATTGAGTGACAGTCAGGAGCAGCACAGCTCCACAGAGAATCTTTCAGGGGCCAGCCCTTCCTATAACTCATCATTTGAAACTAGCAGTTACTTACAACAGGTAAGCCCTCCTCTGGACTGCCGTCAAGACAGTCTACTGTCTTGTTTTGGCGGAACTTCAATTTTACAGGATGCAAATAGTGGCCAAAACATAAAATACACACTGCAAGAATTAGAGACTGCTCTTATGGGGCCTGATGATGAGGAGGAAGTAACAACACCAAATCCTTCTCTTGGGGACAATAAGCGGCCACAAACATCGGGACAGAGTTCTATGGCATGGAACCAGGAATCCCAGGGCTCACATATGATCCAATCTCAGCCATCCCACACTTCAAGGTATGGTAAGCCAGGCGATGGATTTCATACTGAGAAGCGTCACAAAGTAATGGAAGAAGCTCCTTTGCAGAACATACCATCGGGCAATCTGAAACAGTTGCTCATTGCATGTGCTAAAGCTCTCTCTGAAAATAAAAAAGATGATTTTGAGAATTTGATTGAAAAGGCTCGGAGTGCTGTGTCAATTAGTGGAGAGCCAATCCAGCGTCTTGGTGCTTATATGGTAGAAGGGTTGGTAGCAAGGAAAGAGGCATCAGGCACCAACATATGCCGGACTCTCAGGTGCAAGGAGCCAGAAGGAAATGAATTACTTTCATATATGCAAATCCTTTATGAAATCTGCCCTTACTTGAAGTTTGGTTATATGGCCGCAAATGGGGCAATTGCTGAGGCGTGCAGGAATGAGGACCGCATCCACATCATAGACTTCCAAATAGCTCAGGGGACCCAGTGGTTGACTCTCTTACAAGCACTCGCCGCAAGACCTAGTGGCCCCCCTCACGTGCGGATTACAGGGATCGATGACCCAGTTTCTAAATATGCTCGTGGAGACAGTTTGGAAGCAGTAAGGAAACGCTTAGCAGCAATTTCCGAGAAATTCAATATCCCAGTTGAGTTTCATGCTGTGCCAGTATTTGGTCCAGATGTTACAAGGGATATGCTTAACGTAAGGCCTGGGGAGGCACTGGCTGTGAATTTCCCTCTTCAGCTCCACCACACCCCCGATGAAAGTGTTGACGTGAACAATCCCAGAGACGGGCTTCTCAGGATGGTGAAGTCACTTTCCCCCAAGGTCATCACTTTGGTGGAGCAAGAATCGAACACAAACACAGCTCCTTTTTTTGCTAGATTCATCGAAACCCTTGACTACTATTCTGCGATGTTTGAGTCTATAGATGTGACCCTGCCGAGGGACAGGAAAGAGCGTATTAACGTGGAGCAGCACTGTTTGGCTAGGGATATTGTGAACATCATTGCCTGTGAGGGCAAGGAGAGAGTGGAACGCCACGAGCTATTTGGAAAGTGGAAGTCCAGGTTCACAATGGCAGGGTTTCGGCAATACTCTCTGAGCTCTTATGTCAACTCTGTGATAAAGAGCTTGCTGAGATGTTACTCTGAACATTATACCCTGGTGGAGAAGGATGGAGCTATGCTGTTGGGGTGGAAAGACAGGAACCTGATCTCAGCGTCGGCTTGGCACTGACCATAAGAATAACGAGGGCACTGACCATAAGAATAATGAGGGGGCAGTCATAGAGGTTACCGATAGAAAATTACCAGTTTCTGGTTTATAGGTTGTCAATGATGAACTAGCCCCATGGGTATTGACTGATAACATGGTAGTATCAGATGAATTTATTGTATAATGGGTTTATTCTTTTTGATGATATTGTATTCTCATAGTCATACAACCTGGATTCTTGACTTCTGCCATTGATAGACAAACCTTTGCTCCGTTGTTAAGTTGTATGTATGTGTATAATGCAGGGTTTTTAAAATTTATATCTGCTCCTTAAATGTTCGGGACTTGTTCTATATCTTGTTTTATGATCCTTACATGTTCTGCAGGATATGCATCCATGTGTATTGCTTTTGTTAGATCAGAGTAACAACACGATCCATTTCTTGGATATTAACATCATTTCCCCCCTTCTCTTTCTCCCAACGCCTCTCTGTACAGCCATCATCTTCCCAAATTTAAATTTGATGGGAAAGCATTCAAAAATCATCTTCAATTCTTTCATCAAATCAAGAGAAAAATAATTTTTCAACAAATCCTTAATTAAATTACAATTTGATAATAATTTAAAAAGTATTAGAGATGAATTTTTTTCATCAAACTTGATGAAAGGAGAGAAATTTTTTAAAAATATTTTAATAAAAATTTAGTGAAAGAGTTATCATATCACTTCAAAATTTTACTCAAATTTTGGACTAAATTAAATGAAAAAGAAAGTGGTGGAAAATACTCTTAAAAACAGAGCAATTGCTGTGCAAGTGCCTCTTCTACAATCGTGAAAGACAAAGGAGGTTTCACCTTCTGCAAATCACAAAATTAACCTGAATAGATAAAAATCAGTAAAACCCTAATCACAAAATGTATCCAAGCAATAAAAACCCAATACAATCCTGAGCGTGAAACAAATCCAATTTCTGACGAACCCATTAAACCCTGATAGAAAAAATATTAGTAATGCTAGGTATCATAAAAAAAATTTCATGAAAATAATCATAAAAACTTTATAACCCTTAAATTACACTTAAAATAAAACACCACTAATTAATCAAAATAATCTAAAAATCATAAAATTTTCATGAATATTTTCATGAAAAAATATATCAAATCTAGATAAAACCGCCAACATACCCAGAGAGGGAGGAACAAGAGGAGTCCGGATCCTCTCCTTGAGGAGAGTCCTTCATTTCTTGCTGGCAACGGCCACGATCTGTGGAAACAGATCCAACGGCTCTAATAAAAAAAAAAAAAAAATTTGAAAATGTAATTTCTAATTTCCCGCCCAAACGATATATGCACACAGCTCTGTTCCCACCATTAGAGGATCCGGACTCGAACAAGAGAGGCTTCTGGCGGACTTACCGATGGGTTGATGTGACATCCATCAATTGGTTGTCCATAAATTTAGAATTTCAAAAAGAAGAATAGAGTTCATCTTAAAATCCAACTCACTTTTTTTTTCTTCAAAATAACAGAGCAAAACCTCTTTTTTTTCCCCTATAACTGCACTGCTGAGCCCATTTGGGTTTTTGCATTAGCAAAACTTTTTATCCGACTCTAAAACCCATTTGGGTCTCCATTATTAAGGTATACATGGCACAATATGTAAAAACAAAAATAATGAAATTAATCACATGAACTAATATTAAAATTATATTGAAATAGATAATGCACCAACACTTAGCTATATGAAATTAATCTCATGAATTGATACTAAAATAATATTGAAATAGATAATGCACCAACACTTAGCTATGTGAACACACTGTAAATATACCAATCCTATTACTTTGATGACTGTGTGAATGCAATTTTTTTATCCCTTCTTTTTGCTTTTGCCTAGATATATAAAAGTGGCGTAATCAATTTTGGTGGCCCACACCCCCACATGGCGGCTTACCTAACCCAACAATGGTAAAGGAACAGAGATTGGATTAGATTCTACATTTTACAAGAAGGTTTAAATTGAGCATGATCCTCTGAGTTTTTTTTTCTAAAGTTTTATAGAGTGGTGTGTTGAATAGTTGAGATTTAATGACAAGTCACATTAATTTTTTAGCATTAAATCTTACCCATACAACACACCACTTTAGAAAACTTTAAAAAAAAAAAACTCTAGAATCCTTGGTGGTTTAAATTATAGTTGAAATGCATATTTTTATGAATTTTGGTATATGTTTAATGTATGTTAGGGATGTTCAAAAATTTGTGGAATCCGTAAGTTGATTTGGGCCGATTCAAATTATGTGGCTTGGATTCGCCTTTGTAAGGACAGATTAGTTCTAATTTTTCTTTTTGTTTTTGTTTTATAAAAGCTTGTTTGAATAGATAATAAAATTTCACACTTTTAATAAAATTGCACTGATTTTTTTTTTAAATAAGATTAAAAGAGATTAGAGTTAATAATTATACTGACTTTCTTTTTAATAAAATTAAAAGAGATCGGAATTATTGCAGATAATGTAAAGATACATTAGAAAAAGAGAAGTGTTTGGGTGTGCAAGGTGCATACTATATGCACTTGCATATGGTCTTTTCACAAAATTGCGTTAGTTTTCATAAGCATACATAAGTTAATTCATAAAAATTTAAAAAATCACAATTTACGTAAATTTGTAAGAACTTACGGAAGTAAGTATGGTATGTACTTGCATATTTAAGAATTGTCCTTAGAGAAAATAGTCTTTGTGGGTACACTATCCTACATCGCTTTGTGAGAGATCACAACTCTACTACATAAGTGGATTAACTCTTTTAGACTATTAAAACGGTGAGGAGTTAGCTGCTAGTTTTCGCCTAACTCCAAAACGGACAATATTTTACTAGTCGAGAAGGATTAGCCGCTTCAATAATGAAAACAACATTTTATGGAATCAACAAAACATTGTACAGAGCAAGGATATGGGAAAGCATAACGCTACTAGCATACCAGCTACAACATTTTATTGTATTTTTGTTTTTGTTTATAGAAGAAGACATCGGAGATAAGGTTAAATTGATGAGGGCATAATAGTCTTTTTAATATTTTTTTATTAACGGAGTTAATTACCAAAATCACATTACCAACATGTGCATATTTTTGAAAGACGGAGATGATAGAGTGGTATAAGGCTATATTACAATCATGTAAGATGGATTTTATCTCAAAGATGATAAAGTGTTCTGTTTATTCATGCACCGTTTGGGAAGGTGGGTTGGAGGCTTTTTTGGCTATTTTAGCCACAAAAAACAAAATAGGCTATTTTAGCCATAACAAACAAAACATCACATCCAACCCATAATCATTACATTTTTCTCTCACAAAAAAACTCAAAAAAGCCAAAAAGCCAAAAAGCCCTTCCCAAACCAAGCTTTTAAGCCCAGGCTAAAATAGCCAAAAAAGCCAAAAAGCCAAAAAGCCAACCCACTCCCCAAACGGAGGCTCATTCTATTTTTTTTTCCCCTTTTTTTTTCCTCCAATAAACACGACACTGTTACAATGCCGTTTGAAACTACTTAGAGAAGTACTTCAAAGGATCCCGACGCATTAACCCATTAAGACTTCCTTGGGAAGTTAAAGGTTGGGTTTTTTTTGACTAAAATAATTATAAAAAATAAAATAAATTTTTTAGTCACAAAAAAATAAAATATCACATTAAATTCATAATTATTACAATTTTTTTTCTCACAAAAAAGTCAAAAAAAGTTAAAAAAACAAAAAGTCCTTCTCAAACGAGGTTTTTTAACCTTAGGTTGAAATAGCCAAAAAAATTAAAAAATTAAAAAGCCAACTCACTTCCCAAATGAACCCTAAATCGATTTAAAAGTCACTGTCAAAGTAATAGAAAATGGGAGAGTTATGGGCCGGTCCTATGGACTGGTCTTGTTACACAACAAGTCCTACAAAAAAAAATCAAACATTGTTTTTCATTTTTATCCTTGGACTCAGCATGACAAATTTATCACTGGTTTAAACAAATTTATCATTAATTTATCACTAGTTTAAACAGATTTATCACTGATTTAAATAGATTTATCACATTCTTCATTAATACGCATATGGATCATTTTTCTTTACCATAGACATATGAGAGAGAGAAAGAGAGAGTAGATTGAATAATTCTCAACAATACTATACAAATTACAACCTTAAATAATCCATACTGGACATCGAAAGCCGCCTGAGTAATGTTCTCCATGAAATCTTTGAAAATCCCACCACCATCAATACCAGCCTCCGCTACTCCAAATCCATTCACAAATGTGACGTGAATCTGGGAACATTCATCAGAAAATGACATACATTGATATAGAGAAAACAAGCTTTCAATCTTTTCTCTTTCTCTCTTATCAATCTCAGATTTGAATTGCCATCGCCGCTGCCGTCTGTTGTCCTTCACCACTCCACCATCCAGGTTGCGCAATCTTAGGATGGACGATCTCACCATCCCTGCATAGCTCGACCGAGCACAACCGTAAACTCATCGAAAATCATCCATGTATAGCTTGGCGATGGTGGAGTATAGAGGTTGTAGATCTAGACTTCATAGTGAACATTCTCCTTGAATGCGGCGGCGATGTTGGCAGATCTTCTTCTTTGATCGGACCATCTATGGTGTTGCTGAGAGAGAGGTGTAGAGAGGGCTTTTTTTTTTTTTTTTAAAACTCCAGATCTGAGTATAAAACACGAGGGCAAAAACGGAATAAATAAAAATGTTCCGGACTTATAGGTAAAAAAGTCTCTATTAAAGACCTGTTGAGTAATAACCCTTGAAAATAGGACTGACCCACATAGAAAATTGTATCGAAATTGGGCTTGGGATTGGGCTTCATATGTAAACAAGCCTGGTCCAGTTAACCATGTTCACTTGCCCTCCTGCCCTTCCCTTCTTTCATTCATTTCTTATCAAAATAATAAGTAGCATGTGACCCCTGTTATACTCGAGATAGTATAATACATTATTTATAAATAAGATACGTAATATTTTCATGTATTTTTTGTAAGTTTAGCTCTCATGAATAAAAAAAATCATTTATAAATTTATGAGTTGTATACAAAGTTATGAAAAATTACAAATTTAACGTCACATGATTTATTGATTTTATAAAACTAATAAAATTAGTTAGTTTTCTCTCTCTCTGTATATATTGTTAGCTAATAGGTGCCTCCTGCTAACAAATTAAAAAAAAAAAATCATAATAATTTTTAGCCTCAAAAGTTGCATAGATAAAAAACAAAAATTATTTTAAATAAATAGATAACTATAATTAAAAAAATAATCAATAAAACAAATGTGGACAAAAATGATAACTAAATAATCAAAACAAATTTTAATATATACTTGCACTACAGGAAATATAACTTTTAACGACGTTTATTTAACGGCGTTTTATTAAACGCCACATTTTATAATATTTAACGACGTTTTTTAAACGTCGCTTTTTGTTTAAATCAAAACAGCACCGTTTCATTAACCAAAGGCGTTTAAAAACGCCTTCGAATGTCCTATATCTCTCCCTCGGCGAGCGGGTGAATATCAAATATAATAGCCCTAATCTCTCAGTCTCTCACCCTCTCGTTCACTCTCTCGCTCTCCTTCATCTCTCGCTGTAGCCCTAATCGAAGTTCTCTCTCTCTCGATTTCGATTTCGATTTCGATTACGAAATCTATGTTTGGGTGATTCGTTCTCAATTTCGAAGCTTATTTTGAATCTCAGAATATTTGTTAAAGCCTTTGTAAACCCTTATATTGAATCCTCACACCTTCAAATCTCGCCTCTCTCTCAACGCTCTCTAAACCCTTATCATTCTCACGATGTTGCTCCAGAACGGTGTCATCTTTCAGAGCGATTTTGATTTCGAAGCTCCAGAGCGGTGTCTCTCTCTCTAGATCTCTCTTCATCTTTGAGATTCAGAGATTCAGATCGGTCTCAGTGATTTCATCTCAGAGCGATTTCGAAGCTCCAGCGAGGTATCGATTTCTCTCTCTCTCTCTCTCTCAAGCCCTTCCTTCCTGTCTCTCTCAATTTCTCAATTTGGTATTTATTTGCTTGGAAACCTGTTCAATTTCTTCTTTTGCTTGCTTTGTCATTCTTCCTTAATATGTTGTTTTTAGCAAATTTGATGTCATTCCTAGATAGTTGGCCCTTGTTTCTGTGTCATTCCTGTAATTGAATGATGAAATTCTAGGAGTTTCATATCTTACAAAGCCATAAGATATGTATCTGGTTCAAAATGCAAAGTTTAGTTTGCTTATCCCTCCATGGCTTCTAGTTAGTTCAAGTGTTCTTTGCGTAGTTTTCGTAGTACTTGGACTCTAGGTATTAAAGGCACTGTTATGCACATTCCCCTAGTGTTAGTTTCTTTTTCATATATGAATTGTAGACTGTTGGTCACTGCTGCATCTACAAATTTTTGGGATGATGCTCTTCAATCTTTTTGTTCTTTTAAGGTTCTAAATTATACATTCTGCTTTTAAGCTTATATTGACTATCTTATGCATTTGATATGCTTTGCAGTCCTGCAATTCTTAGGTATCTTGCTTGTGCATTTCCTGGAGTAGCTGATCACTGGTGAGAATTGTTGCTTCTTTTTTGCAATTAGTTTGCCTATAAGGACCTGTGTTATAGCATTGAAATGACAATTCTAGTTGGGCCAAATGGTTTTATTGAAATGAGAATTCTAGAAGCTTAAATTTGTTCACTTTAATTTGCACAAATCCCTCCCAGAAATCTGCTGTTGTGTGTACAATATAACATGAGTCTACCATTTGATCAACATATAGGATATAGTTTGAAAACATCACAATACAAGCTTGTTGTAATACTTTCCCTTCCCTTTTTCTTTTTTTTTTTGGGGAGGGGGGGAGAGGGGAAGTTGGTGGGTTTTGTTAATTGTGTGATATTGATTGTCTTGTTGTAAGGAGGAATTTTTGGGTTTTGGGTCATAGACCCACCCATGGTTTTGATGGCTGAAACTGTTGTGTTGATACGATTGATACATTCCTACAGTTCAAGCAGCACTGCCTCGCCTTTTAGGAGCTGCTGCTTCTCCTGGAGTTGCTGCTTGTGAAAATCACCCTCAGTGTCTCAAGGAAATTGTAACACTTCATACCAATGAAAATCTTACCTGATAAATTGAATTAATTGTATCCCATAGGTTTTGCGATTATGGCTTGAGAGGAAAATCTTACCTGAGTCTCTTCTTCGCCAATATATGGATGACATTGGAGTTTCAAATGACGATGCATCTGCTGGATTTTTCCTTCCACGTCCGTCTCGAGCTGAGCGTGCTGTAGATGATCCAATTAGAGATATGGAAGGCATGCTTGTTGATGAATATGGGAGGTCTGATGCTTCTTAATTGCTATTCTTATTTGAATAATTTTTGCTTTTACTTTTTTTTAGTACTTAAATATGATGTTTTGTCACGATGGGAACTGTTAAACATAGTCATTCGTTGTCTATCTATTGTTTCTGCTGGATATCAAGAAAATGAGTTAGTAAAGTAGTAATCATGTTTAATGCTAATCAATTTGTCGCATGCATTCACTTATTCACTTATAGTTATTTTGTCTCATAAAACTTTATATTGTCATTATTCTCAATGTATTCAACAATTCAGTGTATAAAAACTTTAGAAGAAAGTTACTACGTCCATTCACATAACTGAATATGGGAGGTCTCGATTACATTTTTTTTCCTCCTCCTTTTTGGTCCACAGTGGTCCTCATTTGAAACAAATGCCTTCCGCTTAATAACTAGTGGCTTAATTGTGCTATGTATTGTTTTGCAGGGAGAGTTCCAACACTACAAAAGGGAAATAGAATGGAAAATATATTTAGTTTTCCATGGTCGAAAGATAATCCTATTGTTCTTGGTATGCGTCATGTAGATAGCACAGCCTGCTGCAGCTCTACATTTATAGATCCCTTGATTTTAAACTGAATTTTGTTATGACTATTGAGCAGGACCGAGATTTAAGGATGCATTCCAAGACCCAAATTCATACCTTGCCATAGAGCCCATCTTTGAGGTATTGTGTCCTTTTTAGGGGAGATATCTCACAAGCTGGGAACTCACTCTCTGTTTCTCTCATGTGCGTTCTTTTCAATTACCTTCCCTCTTCTCACACATGATTTCAAGTTCTTCTCTTTATATATATTTCTTTGATTTTTACAGAAAGAGAGGTATATAGTAACATACAACCCTTCAAAGGGAAATATATATGCATTGTTGAAGGATCAAGCAAAATCAGATGACATTTTGAAAGCAGCTTTCCATTTGAGAATCTCAATTCTTTGTGTTATATTGCCAGTAATTTAGTATAGTTGTGTAAGATGATTTTACCTTGAATTACAGGCTCATGTGCTTCTGCATATCATTCACTCATCAAATCAGAATCAGCCTCCTTATAGGAAGCATCGAGAAACTGATCATTCAGTGTTTATGCGTTCTATTACCGATCTTCAATCTCATATTACTGAATCTTGTAAGATGGTCTCAGCTTTATATAGGCCTTTCAAGAGCAAAGTTACAGAACAGGTAGGATGAATTTTTATAACTTGATTTTTTTTTCTTCATATTTAATCAATATTGACTCTTGTTAGCTAAAATGTGTAAGTTTGCCCTGTAATTTTGCTTAATGAATGAAGATTAGTTATGAATTATATAAAAACAAACATGTTTTATTGTCAAGTATTTTCAGTTTTAAATTATCCAGTCAAGTATTTTCAGCAGGCATTATACTATTATCCTAAATATCAGTATAATGGAATTATTTTAATACTGAAAATACTTGAATTGGTGGTCCATTCATGAATTGGTTGAATACTGAAAATTATCCTAAATACTGAAAATTGGTTGTCCATTCATGAAAATAATACTAAAAATATTTTCAGTATGGACAACTAATTATAAATACTGAAAATTGAATTATCCTAAATACACCAGTTTTGAATTGGTTGTCCATTCATGAAAATAATACTAAAAATATTTTCAGTATGGACAACTAATTATAAATACTGAAAATTGAATTATCCTAAATACACCAGTTTTGAATTGGTTGTCCATTCATGAAAATAATACTAAAAATATTTTCAGTATGGACAACTAATTATAAATACTGAAAATTGAATTATCCTAAATACACCAGTTTTGAATTGGTTGTCCATTCATGAAAATAATACTAAAAATATTTTCAGTATGGACAACTAATTATAAATACTGAAAATTGAATTATCCTAAATACACCAGTTTTGAATTGGTTGTCCATTCATGAAAATAATACTAAAAATATTTTCAGTATGGACAACTAATTATAAATACTGAAAATTGAATTATCCTAAATACACCAGTTTTGAATTGGTTGTCCATTCATGAAAATAATACTAAAAATATTTTCAGTATGGACAACTAATTATAAATACTGAAAATTGAATTATCCTAAATACACCAGTTTTGAATTGGTTGTCCATTCATGAAAATAATACTAAAAATATTTTCAGTATGGACAACTAATTATAAATACTGAAAATTGAATTATCCTAAATACACCAGTTTTGAATTGGTTGTCCATTCATGAAAATAATACTAAAAATATTTTCAGTATGGACAACTAATTATAAATACTGAAAATTGAATTATCCTAAATACACCAGTTTTGAATTGGTTGTCCATTCATGAAAATAATACTAAAAATATTTTCAGTATGGACAACTAATTATAAATACTGAAAATTGAATTATCCTAAATACACCAGTTTTGAATTGGTTGTCCATTCATGAAAATACACCAGTTTTAAATTATCCTGATTTAAAACAATTGGGACCAAGATTTTGTTGAGTTGAATGGCACAAACTTGCAAACATTGCATTGTACATGCTTATCATTTTTTAATCCATTTTATATCTCTGCAATAGTGGACGCATAACGTGCACTTTGCTAATTGAAATTCTTGGCCTCAGTTTGAGGGTTTTCATAAACATTTTGGTGTTTATTTCCACCTTTTGATAAAACCAATGTGCTTTGCTACTCAACTTTGTTGTGTAATTGACCTATTAAGATGCTAAACTTTCCTTTTTATTTTTTTTCAAACCTTATGCTTACAATGCAGAGATCAAATTCTCATCAATTTACATCATAATTGGGCTGTTGGTCTGCCAAAACGAGCAGTGAGTTTCATCTTCTGCATTTGTTATTAGTTCTTCATAGGTTAAATTTTGGCTTGCATTATTTAGCTGATTTCTAACCTGCCTACACAGCCAATCAAACTTTGGAAGACTTATGCAATGGATATCTAGAACTTGAGTGAATTTATTCTCATTCTAGAACAGATGCTTGGACTTTGTATTTTGTTGAATCAGTGGGGTTCTTTCCAGGGATTTTTGGAACATTCACAAATAACTGAAAGACATTCCTCTTTTGTGCATACCATTCAAATGTTACCTTATTTGAATTATTTTGATGTTGTTGACTTGCTACTTTTCCAGGGCCTTTGGTACAAATAACTGTAAGTGCTGAGACATTTGCTCACTTTTTGATTTTGTTATCCAGAAAAATGCTGCTTCTCTTAGAATTGGGAAATGGTGCAAGAATGCCACTTTCATACTAGTGTGTACTAGATTCTAGTAGCAAAGAATTCTTGTGTTACTGCAATTGAGCTGTATATTGAAGATATCCCTAGTTTGCTCACTGCTTAGATGAGAAAGCTAACCAAATACTTTTCCCTCGACTTTTCATTTCTTCCCTCGTCAAGACAGTCCCTTCTGTTGACTTTAATTAGAAGAGAATTCCTGCGGAAGCATAGGGAAGTCTTCTACTCTCTTCTCTAATCTTACATTGGTAAGTCCAAAGGAAGACTGCAACTTGTTTGTGAGTGAGAGCAGAGACAAACTGAGCCAACCAACCAATGCTAGCCCATAAAGAATTGTTAAAATAATAAAACAGGCCCACACATAGAATACAGAACTATTCTAATGCCCCTTGTTGTATCGCACAGGTAAGGTGCACCAGACTCGTAATTATCATGATCTATAAAACAGTGTCATCCAGTCTAGTCTGAAATAAACATTTCATCCATCTGGCTATTTAATGAGCTATGCTAGTCCACATCACATAATAATTCCAAAACACATTCTGGGCATACTAAGCAGTAAGCACGATCCTTTTTTTTAAGAAATGTCATAGTCACTAGATATAAAGATCTGTTATATCAGACTACCTACTGCAGCATTAGATGGGAAGACTCCCATGGAGGTATGGTCAGGAGTCCCAGTTACTGATTATGATCAGTTACGTATCTTTGGATGTCCAGCATATTTTCATGTTACAGAATCTAAGTTGGATCCAAGAGCCAAGAAAGCCATCTTCTTGGGCTTCAGTGATGGTGTCAAGGGATACAGACTCTGGTGCCCTGAATCAAAGAAAGTTGTCACTAGAGGAGACGTTACTTTTGATGAGTCTACAATGCTGAAGCAACCAAATCCTCAAGAAAATGATGAAGCATTGAAGAAGTCAGTGCAGGTGGAGTTTGAGACTCCAGCAAAGACTAGTCAGCCAATCAACCATTCTGGAGAAGTCTCAGTGGATAGCTCTGAAGAGAGTTCAGATGAAAATGAAGATCCAGAGGCCCCACAACAGTCAGAACCCATTGCAATCAGGAAAGGAAAAAGGGTTACTAAGCAACCCGGTTGGATGACCGATATGGTAGCCTATGCACTTCCAATCATTGAAGACAATGTTCCTTGCACTTTCAAAGAAGCTGTGCAGCATGCAGAAAGTGTCAACTGGAAGAAGGCTATGGATGAAGAGATCGGGTCACTTCATAAGAACCAGACTTAGGAGTTGGTATAACTTCCAAAGGGAAAGAAAGCAATTGGGTGTAAGTGGGTTTACACTAAGAAAGAAGGCATCCCAGACAAAGACAACATCAGATTCAAAGCTAGATTGGTAGCTAAAGGCTATGCTCAGAAGGAAGGAATAGACTACAATGAGGTATTCTCACCTATTGTGAAACACACGTCTATTCGTATCTTGTTAGCTTTGGTTGCACAGTTTGATCTCGAGCTTGTTCAACTCGATGTCAAAACTGCTTTTTTACATGGAGATCTTGAAGAGGAGATATACATGTCCCAGCCAGATGGTTTCAAAGTTGCTGGAAAAGAGAATTGGGCCTGTAAGCTGAACAAATCGTTGTACGGGTTGAAGCAATCCCCAAGACAGTGGTACAAGCAATTTGATCGGTTCATGATAAAGAAAGAATACACAAGAAGTCAATTTGATCATTGTGTATATTTTCGTAAGCTTCCAGATGGTTCCTTCATCTATTTGCTCTTATATGTGAATGATATATTAATTGCATCTAAGAGAAAGGTGGAGATTGACAAACTCAAGGCATAGTTGGCAAGAGAGTTTGAAATGAAGGATTTGGGAGAAGCAAAGAAAATTCTTGGCATGGAGATCAAGAGAGACAGGAAGAAGGGCACGGTTTTTCTGACACAAACCCAGTATCTGAAAAAAGTGTTAGACAGATTTGGCATAAATAGGAAAACAAAAGCTGTGAGTACACCATTGGCCCCTCATTTCAAGCTTAGTGCTTTGATGTCTCCGAGCACAGAAGAAGAACGGAAGCATATGGCACAAGTTCCATATACAAATGCAGTTAGTGCATTAATGTATGCTATGGTTTGTACAAGGCCTGACATCTCGCATGCTGTGAGTATGGTAAGTAGGTATATGCATGATCCAGGAAAAGATCACTGGCAGGCAGTGAAATGGATCCTAAGGTACATACATGGCACGGTTAATCTGGGATTGAAGTTCGAGAGAGATAACTGACTCGGACAGAATCTGGTTGGATATGTGGACTCAGATTATGCTGGTGACTTGGACAAACGCCGATCAACAACAGAGTATTTATTTACACTTGCTAAAGGGTCGGTGAGTTGGAGGTCAACGCTTCAGTCAATGGTGGCTTTGTCTACTACAGAGGTAGAGTACATGGCAGTGATGGAAGCCTTTAAGGAAGCTATTTGGCTGCACGGGTTGATTGAGGACTTGGGTATTGTTTAGAAGCACGTTGAGGTGTTCTGTGACAGTCAGAGTGCCATTTGTTTGGCAAAGAACCAGGTTCATCATTCCCGCACCAAGCACATTGATGTCCGTTTCCATTTCATCCGAGAAATTGTGAATGAAGGGGATATTTTGCTTCAAAAGATTAGTACTGCAGATAATCCGGCCGATATGCTCACAAAAGTGGTTTCTGGGATCAAGTTCCAACATTGTTTGGACTTGGTCAACATCTCTCGGAACTAAGCACCTTCGGGTGCAAGGCAGTGTTGATCAATCACTATGAACAGAGGGCAAAGGCATGATAGTCAAGGGCATCTCAGTAGGGGGTGTAGGATATCCAATCAGGGGGAGTATGATATCTTGGTTACGCAAGTTCAAGCATAGCAGGTGAAGACATCTGAGACAGGAAGCGTGGAAGAGATCTGTGGGAGATAGGAGCATAGGCTCTCTCCAAATCAGAGAGTGGTGTGAGTTGAGTTGAGGATGTAGGATTCCCTCTTTCTTTTGTATCTCTGGTGTATTATCTCTAGCTTCAGGAGATGCAGACTATGTTAAATTTTGGATGTGACAAGATTAGCAGCAGTGTGTGCAATAGATCACCTCACATGGGTTGAGGGGGTGATTTGTTGATATCACCCCATGTGAAAGGGGTGATTTCCTTTTAGTGTGAAGTCGGCTGCAACATTCCTCCATTGCGGCTGCCAACCGACAAGCCGCCATGGTTGACAATCGACCTTCGTTGAACAACAGCTGGCCATGTGCAAGGCCAGCCAGCTCCCTCCCTTCTCATGTATATAAATGGAGGTAGAGAGAGCAGAGAGATTACAGTGAGTGGTGAGCTCAAGAGTGATTACAGAGAGAGAATACATAGTGAATTGTAATTCCATTTCTCTATATAGTGAATCCGCTGCCCGTGGACGTAGGCGACTTGCCGAACCACGTTAAATCTCTTGTGTTATTGCTTACAACAAATTTGGGATTTAAAGACGAAACAAATTTGTCCCAAAATGTATATATTTCGTCACCCAAACTAACTACGACGAAAATTTTTCGTCACCCGTTTTGTCGCCAAAGCCTCGTCGCTAAAGGGTCTTAGAGACGAAAAAACAATTTCGTCATTGAAAATGATAAATTTGTGACGAATTTTTTTGTCTCAAATACACTTTGTTGGGAACATACTTGTAAGCAATTAGTGAGAAAATATTTTGTCATTAAAGGAGAAATTAGAGACAATTATTTTGTCATAAATATAAGAAATGGAGACAATAATTTTGTCACGTTTAATATAAACAAAGACGAAATTTTTTTATCAAAGAAGCTACCAATAGAGACAAAAACAAATTCATCATTAAAAATGATAAATTTGTGACGAATTTTTTTGTCTCCAATACGCTCTGTTGGGAACATACTTGTAAGTAATTAGCGACAAAATATTTTGTCATTAAAGGAGAAATTAGAGACAATTATTTTGTCATAAATATAAGAAATGGAGACAATAATTTTGTCACGTTTAATATAAACAAAGACGAAATTTTTTTATCAAAGAAGCTACCAATAGAGACAAAAACAAATTCATCATTAAAAATGATAAATTTGTGACGAATTTTTTTGTCTCCAATACGCTCTGTTGGGAACATACTTGTAAGTAATTAGCGACAAAATATTTTGTCATTAAAGGAGAAATTAGAGACAATTATTTTGTCATAAATATAAGAAATGGAGACAATAATTTTGTCACGTTTAATATAAACAAAGACGAAATTTTTTTATCAAAGAAGCTACCAATAGAGACAAAAACAAATTCATCATTAAAAATGATAAATTTGTGACGAATTTTTTTGTCTCCAATACGCTCTGTTGGGAACATACTTGTAAGTAATTAGCGACAAAATATTTTGTCATTAAAGGAGAAATTAGAGACAATTATTTTGTCATAAATATAAGAAATGGAGACAATAATTTTGTCACGTTTAATATAAACAAAGACGAAATTTTTTTATCAAAGAAGCTACCAATAGAGACAAAAACAAATTCATCATTAAAAATGATAAATTTGTGACGAATTTTTTTGTCTCCAATACGCTCTGTTGGGAACATACTT